AAAAGAAAAAAAAAAGACATAAAACCCAAAAGCTAAAAGACCGAAAAGTATTGTCAAATGAAGCCAAAATTAATAACCTAACAAATTTCCAACAAAACTTCGTTACAGTACTTTCTAACTTTCTATAAAATACTTTTCTAAATACTTTCCCAATAAATACTTTCCCAATAAAATATCTCTTTAAACAAATAGCCCTAGTGTCAAAGCGGTAGAGAAGGTTTAATCTCTTTTTTTTTTTTTGTGAGCATGGAGATTTTTGGGGGAACAGAATTTTTGTAAAGTGCATAATTTGGGAAAGGAAATTTGAACTTATTATTTAAATATTCAAAATTGAACTACTTTATATTTGAGCAGAAGGGATCATGAAAGAGAGGGGAAGGGAATAAAAAAATGAAAGGATATAATTTTTTTTTTCATTTGGATAAATAACTAAATTAATAAAAAAATAAAATAAATGTTTTCCCTCCCCTCCCCATCAAGCCTTTTTAATAACTAAATAAAAAAAATTTTTCACTTCCCTTCCCCTCCCCCATTCCCCTTAATTTAAACATACTAGTAGGGTAAATTTCGTATTTAGTCACTAAAATATTAACGTAACATTTTTGAAAGCACATATATCGAAACTAGTCAGTGAATTAACAACTCAATATAAAGGAACCTGTTGAGATCATCAGAGTTTGAGATCCGCTCAGCCTCAATACTCACTTGTATTATACATTAAAAAAAATGAATTGATGACGTATTTGATGACTTACATTTGTTTTTTTCTGGTAACTAGGTAGCGCCACAAGCTCTCTCTATATAATGGTGTATGAGATTTATCTGTTTATCCTCAAGTCTCTTCCATATCCATTTGGCTGTGGATAGCTCTTTGTATCAAAGATTTTGTCTAGTTTTAACAGTACGGTACGTCTTCATGTCCTCAACAAAAGATCAACGAGTAAGCTTCTTCTATATTTGTCAAAAATTTTACTACTTTCTTTATATTTCATTTATACATGTGTAACCATGTATATATAGTTTTCAATTGATCTGGCTGATTATTGACTGAATTGTTTCATATATCTTGAGTTTCTGGTATTTATACCTTTGACATTTAAAAAAAAAATTACATTTTTCTATCTAAAAACTTATAGCTTAACTTTTTATCCTTTGGCATCCATATAATGTACCTCAAATATTTCAAAGAATGATGGATAATGTATTTTCTTCGATCAAGAAATTTTATATAGTTTACGTAGATGACATACTAATTTTCTCTGATAATAAGAAAAAACATTTGTGTCATCTTAAGAAATTTGCATATTTATGCAAAAGACATAAAATATTACTCTCTAAAAAGAAAGCAGATATAGGAAAAACAAAATTGAATTTCTTGTATTAACAATAGATTTCACAAGAATAGAATTACAACCTCACATTAGTAAAAAGATTTCTATGTTCCTAGATAAACTAGAGTCTAAAGAACAAATTCAAAGGTTTTTAGGAGTAGTTAATTATGTAGAGCAATTTATTAAAAACCTAACTCAATTAAGACATCCTTTGCAAAAGTTGCTAAGGAAAAAGGAAAATCAACAATGGGAAATTTATCACACTAATCATGTGAAAAGAATAAAAGACTATTGCAAAAACCTTCCTAGGTTACAATTGCCTAAAGAAGATGAGGAGTTAATTTTAGAATGTAATGTCTCAAATTTTTATTGGGGAGCTGCTTTAAAAAATTTTCAAGAAAAAATTTGTAGATATTGTAGTGGTATATTTAAAGATGTAAAATTGAGATATCATTCAAGTCATAAAGAATTATTGGCTATTAAAAATGGAATAAAAAAGTTAAGTTTCTTCTTATTACCAAAACATTTTAAGGTTAGAACAAACAATACTCAAGTTAAGGGATTTATTTTTAATAAATTACCCTTAACACCAGAATATAAAAGGTTAAATAGATGGCAAACTTTCTTTGCAGAATATGATTTTGAAATTGAATATGTCAAAGGAACTAATAATTGCCTTGTAGATTTCTTAAGCAGAGAAGGAGCTAATGGATGCAATCCTGAAACTCTAAAATAAAGGAAAAGACCTTATTCTCAAAGATCAAGAGATACTCATTGAGGGCAATAGCCAAATAAGAGAAGGCCAAGAAAAAATGATTGAAGGCCAAGAAATAATTGATGAATGGCATAACCTTATGGATGAAGGCCAAGAAAAAATTATTAAAGGCCATGAGCTATTAAATAAGGGATAAGATGCCCTTGAAGAAGTCAAAGAGTTGATAGAAAAATTAATAAGTTCCAGAGTAATCATTACTATTGGAATCAGCTCTAAAGAATCTAGGCAAATGGCAAAGAAAAGCTCCCAACAAGAGCTAAAAGAAAATTTTGAACAAGGTGATCCTTCAGTAGGGTTACTTGGAGAAAGTTTAGGAAAGTTTGACTATTATGTCAAATATACTCCCTCAAAATTATCAGCGTCTCAAGCTGAAAAGCCAACTATTCAAAATGTCGAAAGCCATAATTTTCGACCTGATTACTCAGGAAAGAAAGAAAAGAAAGCTGCAATAATAAACATCCTATCAAAAATGACAATGAGTGAAGAATATCTTCAAGATACCGTAGAGTTTGTGAAATGGCATATTCAACGAGGTCCACTAAGAATTGCCATCTTATCCATGAAGGGATTTATCCTAGAATTAGTTTCATGTAGGGTGCAAAACCAAAAGCAATAAAAGAGTTATTCAATTACGGTTTTGTAAACTGTATTTATCTCTCAAGGGATAATGAAGAAGTTCCAGAACTTCCAAAAGTTATACACTAAGGAGTGATAGACTTCAAAATTGGCCCCAAAGCTCAAGGGGTAGTATTTTTCAAGATCTACTCTATAGCATCAGAATGGGAGAAATCTTAATATTTCCCCAGTCATCATATAGTTCAAATTGGAATCCAATCCAAGAAAATCAAGGTAGAAGCAAATGAAGATCAAAATTTTCAAGACTTTGAAGAGTCTCTTCGTGGGATTGAGTTCATCAAAGAGAGACGAGCTCTAGGATTCAAGGTTTTACTCTAGACCTTTGATAGAATGATAAAGATGAGGAAGACATGGACATATGGCTTCTCCAAAGAAATCTCAGTGGTATCCACTGATGCAAAATTAATGACAAGCATCAACCTGTTCAAAATAAAGTAGAAAAGAAAGGAAATCTTTGAAAATTTAGTCCCAGCTAGTAAAGCAATCCATAATAAACTATGCAAGCTGTTAAAGCATGACAGCCATTGTGGTTTCTACTACAAAAAAGAATCTGCAAAAGGGAAAGCTAAAGCCCCATGTGACGAAGGGACCACCCCCTCAAACAATGAAGAATATCTCATTATCCTTTGAAGAATCCAATGCAAAAAGACATAAGCGCTTACGTCACTAAAGAAAAGGAAAAGCATATGCAAGATTCCATGTAATCTGCTTTAACAAAAGTAGGAAAGAAGTCTGGATCACCAGACAATAATGTAAACTTTAATCGTCAACAATGATGAAAAAAAATATTCTAAGGAGCGCTATAAAAAGCCTCCTATAAACTGTAACAGGTATCGGGCATTTGAATACCCAAATACCTTACTTGAGTGCCTTCTACCATATATCTATAAAACAACCTTCAAGAGGAAAGGGAACTTTCCCTTTCTCATCTCGGAAATAAAATCATGTTTTAGAATAATCCTTATGCTTCTATCCTTCTTAATTTCCATCATAGAAAATAATGAGAAGTATTTCTGAAGATACTTAGATAGCAATGAGGTCACTAGTCTTGTTCAAATACTTGTGTAGCCAAAGTGCGGTTTTAAAGGTTGAACGAAGGAGGCATTAGCTTGACCAAAGGCTAGACTAAGAAATTTTCAAGTATGATTCTAACTCATTCTTTTTATCATGCGGAAGCTAGGTGGCCATAGAAACATTCGTATTATTGTTTGACATAGTTATTTTTGAGATTAGAAATAATAGGGAAATAGTACCCAACTCTTATATTTTAAATAGAAAAGTTTGTATTAAGAACTTATTTGTAATGCTTTAAAATGCTTAATTTCATTCAAGAAATAATTGTAGATAAAGTAGTTTATGAGCAACAATGTGAATATTATAGAAATAAAATAGTGAATATTTTAGAAAAAAATAAATGATGTTGAAGATATAGATGATTATTATCTGTCCAAAGCTCTCAAAAAGTTAAAGCGAGCAGCTACAAATTTAAACGAAGATTTAAAAGGACCTAAAAAAAGCTAAACAAAGACTATCTCTACTAGCAATTTAATAAATCAACTAAACTTAAAATACCAACTACATATTAGTTTGTAGTCTAAGTTAGGTTTCAAAAACCAAAAACCCAGTTTTTGGTATCAGAGCCATAAAAGAATTAAAACACAATGATGTTAAGAATGTACTTAAAAGGAGAAGTAAAGTTTTGTGAACAACAAATAAATATAATCTCAAATATTAAAAGATTAAAAGAGATGATCACTTATAGAACCGATGAATTATCATGGGAAAGATATATTAAAAAGCAATAGCTCTAGAAGAATTAAAAATTTTAGCAAAATAAAATAAAAATTAGTTCTAAAACAAAATTAAATTTAGGGACCAAAGTGTTAACTTAAAAAAAGATGAAAGTTGAACTTAACCGTCAAGACCGTAAAATATTTGGTTGAAGGGCAAAAACCCTCAAACCCGATAAGTTAAAGGTGAATAACCCTGACTTATAAATTAAATGGCAAAATCCCTTAAACTCGAAAAGTTGAATGGCAAAGTATAGGTATATGCCACGGAATGGGATGGATTGAGGCATTGGTTATTTTCAGACAGTCTTCTTGATTATTTTTAGTAAATTTAATTTAATTTTTTAATTTTTAAATA